TACGATACAAGGCTGCTCAACGGCCAAGGTCACAGAAGAGTATCCTTGCTAGAGGCTATTTCACTGATTCAAGTTGGTAATAATAAATAAGACAATTTTGCCATCCAGAGGCTCTAAATGAAGGCTTAGAGGAAAATAGATGCCAGATTCGTGATCAGCGGGTACGAATCCATCATAAATGACCTTTCATGTGTCAAGGTCAACCAGAGGTCATTCGAGGTCACGTGAGGTCAACATAAAACTTGACCTTTTCCAAATAAAATATATATCATTCGACGCGGCTTGACAAGGCGAATGCGATGGTACAGGGTGTCCAGAAAAAACGGATACTATTATTTTTTGCTGTAATTCCGAAAATAAACACCTTACATTTTAAAATGGCACATGCTTGTATTCGCCAAAATATGGCAAAACTGACAGCAGGTGCCACATAGCATGTAAGCTCTTTGGTAAGTTGCGGCAGCTCCTCAAAGCAGATACTCAATGTGAGCGGCCTTACGGCGGATCAGCTCCAGCACTAGCACAGTCTGCAGGTGACTGATGGTCATGTTGACCATCTCGGAGGGCAAGCAGACAACCTTCCAACGACGCATTACAGTGCTCATGAGTTTTGCCAACTCTTGCACTATAAGCACATAAATTTGGAACAAAATCGGCACGTGCGTTAATGAATGCGACTTAATTTCCGTAGTATCTTTTTTTCCTGGACACCCTGTACCACTGCCGTAGCTCTAGGACCATTTTTGTCGAAGTTATTTGCGAAAAACTAAAACCACAGCTCGGGGTCGTTGACCTGACCTGTGACCTCAGGTCACCGAAACTATTTTTCTATTTTTCTCTAGGTCAAACGCTACACAACCGTGCTCGTAATTTGTCTTTATCTCTAAAACTCTATTTTTGGCAGCTATTTGAAGTTCGCGTCTGTGACGCCGAAGTTTGCCATGCAGGGGTGTAGAAAAATCGACCCTGTGACGTCATCAATGGGACTAGGTCCAAATTTTTTACTTCAGAAGATGTCAAATTGATGGGAGAAAAGGTACTGAAAGTTTCGCTTTCCTATCCCTAAGCGTTCGGGAGCTATCGCAAATATTCGCCAGGGGGGGGGGGGCGAAAAACGCCCCCCGGGCCCGCGAGGGTTAAAGGTAGACTGCCACCTTTTTTCACAAAACGGTTTTCACTAGAGCTGAGCCACCTATGTCCCAGACTGAAGTCGGTTTTCCGAAATTCGAACCCGTTTGCGAGAAATCGGAGACCAAAGTTCAGTTTGATGCCATTTTTTTAGTCCAAGAAAACCGACATCTCTACTGTTTATCGATAACTTTGAAACATGAATTTTCTTATCTTTTGGCAAATATATGTCAAAACTTTGATTGTTACGAGATCACAGAAGAATTTTGGAGTGTCAAAATAAACGTTAAACTTAAATATTCAGTAGTTCATTTTTTCCAAAAAAGTGTGGGAAATGGGGTTTAACATGGGCCAGACCCATTCCAAATGAGCCATGATTTTTAAATGTTTTACGAAGTTAAATGCAAAATAAATTAAACATGGCCAATTTCTTATGAAATCATATATTAGTAAATCATAAAATACCTTACTTTTTCAAATAAAATGTAATAATCTTATGACCTTGAAGTCTAGTGATGTGTAAACATTGTCGCTAGACATTAACCGATTGATAATTGTATGATAATCGATAATTTTTTCGCGATTCACGTGATGATACTTTGTCAGGTGAATTCTAAAATTTTGTTTTATCCAGGGAATAAATCATAGGCCGATCTGAGAAAACTTTTTGAAGGTGGCAGTCTTCCTTTAAAGGGACTGTCCCACCTTCAAAAAATTGCTTTGATTTACTGTTCTTGTGTTGCAAGACATAGATTAGGGGCCCCTTTACACGAAATTGGCAAACATTCGGCCCATAGTTGACTATTTGTTTAACCCTCGCCCATGTAGGGGGGGGGTTGGTGCAACCCCCCCCCCCTGAGGTTTTTCGGAAATAGTGCAGAAACGGCGGCGCGCAGCGCCGCCAAATTTTGGGTACCTTATGGGGCAAGCCTTGCGGATCTTTTGATAAAAAAAATTTGACCGGGTCATGTCAGGTCACGGAGTTATGACGTCACAAAGGGAACAGCCTCCGGCCGGATTTTCACAAACTGAGTGCCAACGCCCGAGGTTTCCTGCCGGTGGTACAGACATCGGTTGATGGACCGTGATGAAACTTCCCATGCATGTTGGGGCATGTATTGGCTATCATATGGTATAAGAAACTTGACCGGGTCAGGTCAGGTCACGGAGCTATGACGTCACAAGAGGAACAGCGTCCGGTACTATTTTTGAAAAGCGCCCGAACCACTATCTTGCTAATTCTTGTCACCTCAATGGGAATATGCAGCAATATTAGCTTCTATAGGGAGCAAATGGACATCCCAAATCCAAAAATACAATCAGATTTCAAAAATTTAAATTTTGATTTTTCGAATTTCTGCCGCCGACTGTGACCTTGCCGACTTCCGGCGCTCCCAACGCGCCATTTTTAGAGCTAGGGAAACGAAATACATACCAAACGATAGAGAATTGATCAAGGAACACGATAGTGAAGGTTTCAAGTCGATATCTCCCACCGTTTTGCCGCAATCGCCGCGGAAAATTTGAAAAAGTCTATTTTTCCGAAAATTTGACCTTTGACCGGTCAAAAGTAGGTCAAATGTTGACCTAGGACCAAAAAATCTACCACCAATCGCGAGATCTCGGCGAGAGCAATCCGTTGGTTATTTCCGCTAAGCTCTACGACGCTCCGTTTTCAAACGCCAGGGGGGGGTCGCACCAACCCCCCCCCCCCCCCCCCCTGCATGGGCGAAGGTGGCAGATCGCCGTTTACGGGCGAGGGTTAAAAATTCCAATTTAAAGCTTTTGGATCGATTACGTCATATGATTGTTTTTATCGGGCAAAGTTTTTTTCCTAGCTGCCAAATCGGTGGCACAAAGTTTTGTTACGCTTCTGCCGCGAATAGTACAAACATTGCGCATGAAATCAAATATCAGGAACTTGGTATTTTAATAACATTGTAACAAAGTTCATTCCCAGCCCCCTGCCCTTACTAACAATGTCCTTTTATGGTCCTCGTTCCTTACCTGTGACGCCTATCCTGACCCGCTTCTGATTGGTGTTATGATATGACGTACATGTGTGACGTATGTATGACGCGTGGTATATGTCGCGCCGGAGCGGGCCGAAGCCCCGGCAGTCGCAGTCGCAGTCGGACCGAGTGAGGGCCGCTCCCTAGCCGGTCGCTTATCTTCACTTGTTCTTTTCGGCTCGTCATCTCGATTGAACTCATTATCTCGGACATTCAAATATAACGTGAAAAGTGAAACGCTGCATTTTATTCAAGAACTTTATTACAAGATATTTGGTGCCGTGACCCGGATAACGTCGGGCAAAGACTTTTGAAAAATTTTGCGCGTCTTCGACTCATCTCTGGCGGACTTCTGGGCATCTAGAGACATCTCTTCACTACAAAGCAGCGGAACAGTGAGCCATTCCATCCTTTTCTTCTTTAAAAACACTCTCGCTTTCATTGTTTGTTTCTTTGTGTCACTGAATTGTTTGAAAAATGACCGAGGCCTCAATTGTTACGACAGCTCTTAATAGTGTAGTGCAAGAGATCCGAATATCAAGCTTAACTAAACACGTCAGGCCCTTCCACGGCGAGGGGACAGCTAAATTTTATCAATGGCTAACGGATATGGACCAGCTTTCGAACACAGTTGACTCAGACAGGATGTGTGTTCTGGCCACCCTTACTCTCGGGGGACCAGCCGGGCTTTTCGTGGCCCGCCTGACAAAAACTCACGTTTCTTGGACAGAACTACGAGAAAAGCTCAGGAAAAGGTACGGAGAGACGGAGGATCCTCGTATCTCAAAAGAAAAAATCCGTCATATTAAATAGGTTTACAGACATCCGTCTTGTGAAAAAGATGAACTTTTGCCTTCAATATTTCTACAGGCAATTTTAGAAGTGCCCTCACATAGATTACAAAACCGTTTAACCCTAGAACGCCTAGGGGGGGGGGGTTGTATCAACCCCCCCCCCCCCCTGAGGTTTTTTTCGAAGTGCACGCTAAACGGCTTGTCGTAGCGGGCTGAAATTTTCAATAACCTCTGGGGCAACCTTTGCGCATCTTTTGCCGAAAAAAAATTGATCGGGTCATGTCAGGTCACGGAGTTATGCCGTCATAAGAGGTACAGCCTCCGGCCGGATTTTTACAAACTGAGTGCCAACGCCCGAGGTTTCCTGCCGGTGGTACGGACATCGGTTGATGGATCGTGATGAAACTTCCCATGCATGTTGGGGCAAGTATTTGCTATCATATGGTATAAGAAATTTGACCGGGTAAGGTCAGGTCACGGAGCTATGACGTCACAAGAGGAATAGCGTCCGGTACTATTTTTGAAAAGCGCCCGAACCACTATTTTGCTAATTCTTGTCACCTCAATGGGAATATGCAGCAATATTAGCTTCTATAGGGAGCAAATGGACCTCCCAAATCCAAAAATACAATCAGATTTCAAAAATTTAAATTTTGATTTTTCGAATTTCTGCCGCCGACTGTGACCTTGCCGACTTCCGGCGCTCCCAACGCGCCATTTCATAAAACCAACGTTACTGTGACCCGCCTTACATGTATTACAACAAACAACGCAATACAGCGTACATGCTAGGCTCTCCGCTGCCCGGACGCTCCACAGATCCCGTCACCTCAACATTTGCATCAACCTTCAACCGACATTAGCCAGCAACCAACCACGGCAAGGGCGAGCACGCACTGCTGGGGCGGGTCAGACTGACCCGCTACCAGCTCCACTAGCGGCGGGTCACGTAACTACGGTTTCATAAAACCAACGTTACTGTGACCCGCCTTACATGTATTACAACAAACAACGCAATAAACACTGGAGAGAGAGAGAAACAAAAGGAAAACGTGAACGAATCGCACAAGTGCCTGGCTCTAGAAGGACGAACACACACACGACTGATCAGACTGACACGATCACTTGAGCATTTGCTCCGTGTACGAGCTTTGAATCGCGTTGTGCACGTAATGCTCCAAAAAGACTGAACGTGTTTTCCAGCGGCCAAGACGTTGTACATCATCAGTGTCAAAGCCTAATTGAACCGCCCGAGTAGCCCCTGTCGGCCGAAAATCTTTCGGCCGATGGCCAGTCGGCAGGCCAAACTTTTCGGCGGCAGTGATGGCCTGTTGCAGAACTTCAGCGACTGTGCTAGCAGATATAGCCTTGAAAGGCCTAACGAGAGTTAAAAACGCCGGTTTAGTAGTCGGACAACGCACCGATTCCGTACGAGCCAGATAAACCCTGAGTGCTTCCACAGGATTTAACTTGCTATCAGGACTGGGGGGCAAAGTAACTTGGAAGCCCGTACGCTGGCTGTCATTTTTGACGCCGAGAAAGGTCACACCGAGAGAACCGTCCGCGTTAAACTGAAATTGGTCCGTTGACATAACAAAATCAGAGATAACACCGGTACTGGACTCGTACCTCTTAGCCAGTGGCGCGACGTCAGACGGCCTCAGCATTAAAGCTAGCGATAACAAAGTAATGGTTTTCAGCCGTAGCTGTTTGGTAGACAGTTCTGCACTGTCTGGCCAAGACTGAAACATGCGGACGAACGCCGAAACATCCATGATTGCAGATCGAACCATCGGGGCGCGCGTGCCCCCTTTAACGATGGCCTGCAGGAGTCTCACAATGAACGGATCCCTAGCAGGGTTATCCGCTCCGAACGCTTCATACAAAGCTGAAATGGCCGCAGAAACACACCGAACGGTGGAGTGCGGCCGGTCCGACGACCCGCACCGGTGCATGAAGAAATCAGCCAGCACAGCGGAATCATCTGGCGGAAACGATACTCCACGAGCACCGCAGAAAACAAAGAAATCACGAATGTATCGGTCATACGTTGCGAGTGTGCTGCTCGCCAAGCTCACCCGTAAATAGTTGCTAGCGGCTCGCGACCATCCTCGTGCCTCTAGCCGTGTGCACCAGAGATTCTCCAGGCGCACAGCGTCCACCTGCGGTTCTGATGTGGCTCGATCCGCTGCTGCTCCGATAGAGGGAGACACGAACGTGTTACCGGCGGCAGCCGGATCGGCGGTGCCGTGCACAGCCGTCGGAGGCGTGCCATCCACGGCTGGCCTGGCCACATCGGCGCGATCAGCGTCGCGTCGGCACGTTGCGCCTCGATGACGTCGAGAACCCTCGGGATCAGGCGAAACGGCGGGTTTACCCAATTGTTCTCGGCGCCCCAGTCCGTCTGCCCCAGCGCGTCCACTCCTGACGAGCATGGGTCCGCGAACCGACTGTTGTAGGTAGGCAACAGGGCCGTGCCAACCGCCGCGAAGCGGTCCACCGTGTGCGGCCCGAACATCCGGTCCAGCTGTCGAAAGATGGACGGGTGCAACACCCACTCATGACGCGCCGACATACGAGACAGGGTGTCGGGGCCCGTGTTCGAGACACCTGCAATGTGATGCGCTACCAGCGAAACGTTATTGTCAAAAGCAAACGACCAGATGTTCTGTGCGATGCTATCTAAGCTAACATTGGATGAACCGAATTTGTTTATATGAGCGACTGTAGTAACATTGTCCGACAGAACTTCTACTGTTTTTCCAACTATCGAAAAACGGAACGAGCGAAGAGCAAAATAAACCGCTAATAGCTCTCGATAATTCGCCGACTGTCTGCTCACCAGCTGATCCCAGAATCCGGACGCCAGCTGACAGCTGGGCGTGGAGAGAACGGCCCCCCAGCCGGAGCCCGACGCGTCGGTGGAGAGCTGCAGCTCGCAGACAGCCGGCGGCACCAGCAGCCTGCCGTTCCAGCCGTCGAGGGAGGACACCCACCACGACAGGTCCTCTCTCGCTCCTGGCGACCACAGAAGCCGAGCCTCCCAGGATGACCTGGAATTGAGGAGACGGTACACATTCCTCAATTTCAGCTTTGCCGGAAAGACTGCCGCCAGCATGCTGATGCACCGGCCAGCGATCCGAGCTAGCAAACGAGCCGAAATGAAACTACGCTTCAGCGCCCTCGAAATGTCTTGCTTCAACTTTCGAACTTTACACTTAGGAACCGTAATCACAGGAGGGCTCAAAGCGGTAGCACAGCGAATTTCAAAGCCTAAATAAGTTACCGACTCCGAGGGCGTGAGATGTGACTTTTCAAAATTCACAGCGAGACCTAAGGTACTGAGCGTCTCTAACAACACACCAAGGTCTCGATCAATGCTTGCTTTTGTGGAGCATAAATAAAAATCGTCAACATAGGCCATGAGTGACAATGATTTGACATCACGCAAATATTTAACAACGGCACGAATACATTTGTGAAAATAAAACGGAGAGCATTGTAACCCAAAAGGTAAGCAGCACCACACCCACCAAGAACCACCGTACTGAAACCCTAAATACTTGCGATATTGTGGCTCGATCTGAAAATGAAAAAATCCGTCACGTAAATCTAAAGTTACAGCCTGCTCAGCATCACGTACTATTTCGGGTAAAACATCGATACCTTCAGACGAAAATCGTGGTGTATCACAGTGTGAGTTCACATACCTGAGGTCACATATCAGTCTGAACTTCCCACTAGGTTTCGGCACAACCTTTAGTGGGGACACGCAGTGAGGCGTCTCTGACACTCTCTGAACGACACCTCTAGATTCCAGGTTAATGAGTTCATTGTTCAAAAAATCAACTTCAGTATCAGTGAACCTTGGATTAGAAAATACTTTTGGTTCAGGCTCACTTGAAAACGGTATGGGAACCCCATCCGTTACCCATTCGATTACCACATCAGACGCGCCGATCTCCGACCAGGCCGCCGGCCGAAGCACCATGGTTCCCGTCACTCAGCGGCGTGCGGCCCCGGCCCCGCTCCGTGCTGCAGCTGACCGGGCCGGGACAGGTCACGTGACGGCTGCGGGTAGCCCGGGCCGGGACGACCGCGGCTCCTCCAATCAGCCGACGCTGGGCCCGCGCCGAACCGCGCGGCCGCCGGCGGCGGACCGCGCCAGCGGGCACGGTCGGGCACGTGACTGACCTGGCGTGACTGCTGCCGCGCCCCGGCGATCGTTACCGCCCGCTGAAGGTTTTCCACCGCGCCCGGCGGGAAAGCCGCCGGGTTTTGTTGCAGAGTCTTGAAAAGCTGAGCGGTCGTATCGTCGAACTGATTTGAGACAAGCAAGTTGGTATATTCTTCTTGTAAGTAACGGGTTTGGGCTAACGCGACTATAGTGAGTTGGTTTATCACAGGATCCGTAGCAGAAGCGGTTGACAAAACCTTAAGAACGGTTTCCTGGAACCTCGCGCACCTTTGAATCACTTGGAAACGCGACAGGTCGTTCTTCCCCACGCCGGCGCGGGAATCTCCAACGACCAAGTCCTGCGGTAACTTGATCTTGGCCACTCCTTCACGAACAGTCTTTAGTTCTGCCTGGAGATCACTGTAGGATCCAAAATCGAACCCCTCTGCACTCACGGGTTCAGTCGGCTCAATAGCCTGTTCTGGTTGAGCCACGTGCCGACGACCGGCGTTGGGCTCCTCAAGGCGGTCGTTGATTGCACTCACTGACGCCTCAATCACAGTGAACCTGTCTGACAGGGCACGGATAGCCGTACTCAGCTCTTCCATCACTGGACACGGAGTCCCACACCGCCTCTAATACCGGCGACCGGGGAGCGCCCGAGCTGCGCGAAGGGCGAGCACGCACTGCTGGGGCGGGTCAGACTGACCCGCTACCAGCTCCACTAGCGGCGGGTCACGTAACTACGGTTTTTAGAGCTAGGGAAACGAAATACATACCAAACGATAGAGAATTGATCAACGAACACGATAGTGAAGGTTTCAAGTCGATATCTCCCACCGTTTTGCCGCAATCGCCGCCAAAAGTTGAAAAAAGTCTATTTTTCCGAAAATTTGACCTTTGACCGGTCAAAAGTAGGTCAAATGTTGACCTAGGACCAAAAAATGTACCACCAATCGCAAGATCTCGTTGAGAGCAATCCGTTGGTTTTTTCCGCTAAGCTCTGCGACCTTCCGTTTCGAAACGCCAGGGGGGGGGGGTCGTAACAACCCCCCCCCCTGGTCGTTCGTGTTATGAGAAATGGCCTGGTCGTGCGAGGGTTAAATTATTTTATTCACTTCAAGCCTTCCCTATTGTTCTTGATGATGCGGGAACTATTTTTAATTAGTGTTTCTAGCTTAGTAAAAGAACATATTGTGTTAAAGATGAAAAAAGCATAAATGGAAGATTTTAAATGCAATTTTCTGTAACAAATAATGGTAAATTATCTACACATCAAGGAAAAGGTGCATGCTAACTGATAATTTAAAGTTCTTGGGGCCAGTTGGTTTCTTCTTTTCTTACGTCGCCCCAATGGCCGCGAATACACTTGTGATAACGCCTATCGAATACGTCAAATTTAGAGATGCTAGATCTAGCCTTAAAAAAATAGAAATGGGTGTCCCACAAGGCTCTATATTTGGGCCACTCCTTTTCATCCTCTTCATCAATGATATTCCTAAAATGTCCTCTAACTTCACGCCTTTTCTTTATGATGATGATACAACACTTCTTTTCCAAGCACATTCATCAAATGAGCTACAGTCACTCTTGAATGAGGAACTCCCAAAAGTGTGTAAATGGCTAGACGTGAATCAATTATCCTTAAATGCTAACAAAACCTGCTTTCAGCTATATTGCAACCATACAACCAAACCCACAATTAATGTTGAGCTGAATGGAACAAAAATTGAAGAATCGCAAACAATAAGATACCTTGGTGTCCTTATTGATAGCGACATGAAATGGAGTAGTCACATCCTGCACACCTCAAAAATTGTAAGCCGAAATATCGGAATCATCAATCGCTCTAGATACTTCCTGAAACAAAAACACAGACTCATGTTATATAATGCTTTGATTTTGCCCTATCTTAACTACTGCTGTTTATTATGGGGACACTCCCCGAAAACACACTTAGCAAAACTTGTAAACCTCCAGAAAAAAAATTTTTCGAATTATTGATGATAAACCGAGGCTTACTCACAGCAGTCCTCTATTTGCAAAACATAAAATCCTTAAGCTAGAAGATATTCCTAAACAACAAACAATAGCTGTCATGCATAATGTTCTCAATGGAAGTGCACCATCATCGATTAAATCTCTTTTCCATCCTGCTATCCCCACGCATTGAGAAAACAGAAGAGTTAAACACTTCCTTGAGCCGTTTACTGCCAAACTTTACCCGCACGGCGCACCCATACGATTACATGGATTGGTCCAAGAATTTGGAATGCTATGATAACTCCACTCTTTCCACATGCCAAAACTGAACGAGCATCAAAACAGAAAATCAAAGAAACATCAAAACAACTAATAATTGCGGAATACTAAAAGCAACTACATGTTACTCTGTGTGATAGGAGAGTTATCACATATAGTGGATATAACAAAAAATAGCACAAAATAATACAAAATACCTCAAAACAGTCACCTAGCAAATAAATACGCACATTGCCAATAAATACAATAGCTTACAATAAATGTATTGTATACCCATACAGTCAAGTCATAGAGTACTTTATGTTGAAGTTTATCCTTAATATAACACAAAATAACACAACATAATACAAAATAGTACCGAATAGTCACCCACAGATGATGTTAAAGGCAGGTGGGCCTCTCGGCAACAAGCTCCGCTTAGCTGAGGGCCACCCTGTGCTTTAACAATGACCTCTGCGTGAACCTGACCAGAGCCTCACCTACCCGTGGAAAAACTTCTTGAGTATGAAAGTATATTGCATGTCTTGGTTATTTCACTCAATGCCTAATCCCTCCTTTCTTCTGTGTCCCATGTATGCATGCCTTTCTTATATAGACAGTCATTTCGGGATCGTAGTGGGGGGCCAGTCAGTGGCTTATGAGCACATTGACTAATTTCTGACTTCTTACTGAGCCTTGCCTAATTCCTTGCTGCCTTCTTGGTTTACTTTTATGTTTTTTTTCCATTTCTTAGCAGGGAGTGCCACGACATTGCTTCTTTTGTTTCTTGGTGTTAACGCAAGGTTCTGTGTGTCGTTGGGTTCGAGGGTGGGGGCACTCCTGGTCACCTATTGATGGGTGGCGGTGTATTTCTTAAAAAAAGTCTATCTCCCCCCAAGTCTTTGGGAGCCTGACGGACAAAAACTCACAATCTACAAACTAGTAACAATATGCACTGCTGACGTTACTGACAACTCGCTCGTAGCTACCGAACGAAGGTGACGGGAATCGAAAGGCGAAGCCGCGAAGAGCAACGCGAGAGCGGACGCGGATACGGTTGATGCGCGTCGCTGAGATAGTACCGGCGGATCACTGCATAAAGTCAGGGTCACGGTATTTTGCGGGTTTGGGTGCTCGTCGCCGGCCGCTGCGACGCGGAGCTTGAGGCTCCGGGGACGATACAGGCGCAGGTGGGATATCAAGCATCGGTGGTTGCTGTGAGGGCGGGCTGTCGGACACCTCCCGCATCGGCGGTCGAGCGCGCTGCTGGTTTTGCGGGGACGCGGGGGAACGCGATGGGGTGCGAGGTGTGCGCACTGGGGCCGGAGACGGAGACTGCGTCGGTGATGAAGGTGTCGGCTCCATCTGAGGGGCGGCCGTCGGCCGCACGGGTGACTCCACCCGCGGAACCAGTGTCGGCGACGAGGGCGTCGTTGCCGTCCGGGGGGCATCAGGCAGCCGCGCAGGGGGTAGCTGACTTCGTTGTAGGCTGTCAAGTAGATCATCGAGACGAGCGCCGCGGCTGGGGATGACGGGGCTGTATCTCCGGAGAAACTGGCGGTTTCGCAGAGTGACCCGACCGCTCCCGTCGACACGCACGACGTATGTACTGGTTGTGTTGACCGACCTCGATGATGCGCCCTGTTTTATCCCACTTTTTGGGATCTCGTCCAGTCTGGTTCTGTAAGCGAACTGTGTCGCCGACCTTGAGAGGAGGGAGCCGTTTGGTGTGTTCAGACCAGCGCTCGTGTGAGCGCATGTGCCGATTCCTCAGGGCCTCTTCGCGGGCGAGTAAAGTCTCTCTCCAGGTAGGATGAGGAAGGTACTGGCGTGGGTGGATGGGGATGAAATCTCGCACCGGGCGCCCGAACACGCATTGTGCCGGCGATAGTTTAGTGGAAGGATTGGGGGCGTTGCGGTACGTTAGTATCGCCCGTTGGAACTTATCCACGTCCAGCTCGCCGCTGTTGCCGGTGTTGCCCACAATGAGGCGTTTAATCGTCTTCACTCCGACTTCGGCCCGACAGTTGGCGTGAGGAAATGCCACAGAGGATAGTCGATGACGCACTCCCCAGGCTTCCAGGAAAGCCTCAGTCTCCTTTGCCGTGAATTCAGGGCCGCCGTCACTGGTGAGTTCGTCGGCGATGCCGAAGGTGGAGAACGTCCGTCGGAGACAGGCGATAAGTCCCTTGCTGCCGCCGCTCGCTCTCTCGACGACAGGCCAGCCAGAGTACCGGTCGACGACGACGAGATACGTTTGCCCCATGTATGTGAAGAAGTCAGCGCACACTTGCTGGAAGGGATATTCCGGCGGGTGAATGTCTTCCGGGGGTGCGCACGGTTGCGAAGGGGCGTTGCGGTTGCACGGTCCACATCGGTCCCGCATGGAACGGATGTCCGCCGTGATGCCTGGCCAGTAGACGCTCACGGCTGCTCGGGCCAGCATCATTCCCACACCTTGATGGGCGCTGTGCAGACTTGACAGCACCTCTCCCCGCAAGCAGGGCGGGACGATGACCCTCTGGTCGTATAAGACCACACCGTCGCTGGTGTATAGACCATCTCGAATGGCGTGGAAGGCACGGATAGCCTCTGGCATGTCCTTGCGTTGTGGTGGCACGCTGCCATCTTCGATCATCTCAAGCAGTTGATGC